ATAAGAAATCATGAGCATTTTCATGTGATTAACTGTATGCACAATTTGGAGAATTAATAGTATTGATACTAAAGAGATCATCATGTGAAGCGCCACAATGTTGACGAAATCTGGTTAGTAAATATTGATCTTTCGTTCGCCGGTTATGTAATAATCCAGTACTTTAGAAAATTCGTTTTGGTTTTGAAGGCATTTTTTTTTCAAACTTGTGTAGGAAGTTGCATTTTTTGTATTTGAGTTAAGTGAATTCCATGACCTGATGGTGAAGGGATTAATGAGTTCAGCGATGACTGTAAACGAAAATTTGATTTGAATTGAATAGTTCTCAGAGTTTCTTAATTTATAAGGAGTTAGATACTAGAGGGAGAATGTCTTTTAGGTAAGAAGTGGTCATGTAGTTATGTATTTTATAGAAGAGCTGAAGTCAGCGGTGGGTACGTCGTTGAGATGAAGTTTCCCAACCAGTTTCAAAAATAGAGAGATTCCCGACTACTGAGTGAAGGTAGATCAGTAACTATACGCGCATAATTTGCAACGGTACTGTTAAAGTTTTGCGATTTAAGTTAAATTTTAACTTTCGAAGTATTCCTATTTGCTTACTAACACTTTTAGAAATGTCACCAATACGAAAAGTCCATTTACAGATTGCACTCAGGAATATACTAAGATGTTTGTGATATTCAATAACCTCAATATCAACATTAGCAACAGCTTTATTAATATCCAGCTCCTCCTTCTAAACACATAGCCCTAAACATAACCCAACCATCATTCCGGCGTAGAGACTCTCACAATTTCAAAACTTAAACCTATCTTAAATAGTCCCGACCTATCATAACAATTACTTATTCTACGTAACTCATTTGACCGCAACACTTCATAACACTTTTAAACCAGCTCGTGCACACAAATCACAAAAAGAACATTAGTCATCTGCAAAGTGACAAAGTAACTTAGTCAGCACGATTGAAAAGGTTTCCAGATGGAATAAAAATACCCCAACATATTAGTTAAAACTGCACATGCACTTATCTAACCACAAACTACTAACAATAGTTCGGCGGATGGGACTCTAAATGGTGGCTCGTGTGAGGACTGTCTAATCTCGCACATGAAAGATCCTCTTGCGGTTATCGATAATTAGAGTAGGCGCTTAACGGCGCCCAGGAGCCCAAAGAATTCCTAACTTTATTCGGCCTTGATAATATAATTATAACATATTAGCCATGGACTTCTATATTTCCCAATCTAAAAATTAGGACCCGGCATTAGAGCAGCCTGGATGTTTGGACAGTACACCATAGATAGGACTACCTCCACTACCGGATGTCCAGACACTCAACACCAGAGACGGAGATAGGAACCATAGTCTCCAAATTCTAGACCAACCCATACATATACGACTCCACCCAATGAAAGATTATATTTCTCATCAGACAAGTTCTCAGTCTCTGACAGGGTCGTCAGGCATATACTTCACTTGGTTTCTAACTATTTTATCTTTCATCCATTTGTCTCCCTCCTATTTCTAAGATATGCCTTCTTCGTCAACCCCTATCCACTTTCTTAGCCCAATTATTTCTTTTCTTCTTTCATCATTAATTAATTCATTAGATAGTTACAGGTTTTCCGTCTCCACGACTCCTTCCGTTGCCGGGTATCATCTCGCCGACGAACGTCAGTGTGAATGTGTGTGTTTTAATGATGATAATCAGGAGGAGGATTGATGTCGTATTAATGCCTTAATAATGATGATAATAATTCATAAAATGATGATGATTTAATATATCTGAGTGTATATATGGATGAATTAATGTATCTGAGTGTATATATGGATGCGTACGAGTGTGTGTTTCGTCTAATATGTTGATGAAAATTGTTAAATACAAAAGAAAGTACATGCTTTAAACCTGTAATCATTTCAATCATCGTCTCGCTATTCTATCCATGCTATCTAATACACGCTCACGAGTAGTCAGATTTAGCACATTTTTATTCCTTTATTTCCTCCAAAATGAAGATTCATAAAGTCCATATGTACAATTGATTGACGCAAATTAAGTAGCGAATTTGTTACCGTAAAGTATCAAGTATCAATTGACAAGGTTAGTATACTTGTCCTTTTACAAGCGATATCAGTCTTGTCATATGAACAAAACTTGAAATTCAGTAAAACTCCAACATGAGTAATGTTTTCAACAACTGGCAATGCTTTTCCATATAAAACACATTTTTCGGCAAAGCTTGTTTCCTGCTATTGGTAAGTACAACAATTTTACTTTTATTAACAGAAAATGAAAATTTCCATTTATAATTATATTTTTTGCAAACTGAAACCATATGCTGTAATCCCATACACTAAGCATATGTCATCAGCCTGTGTTGGGATGTTAAATTAAGAATTAACCACAATTGTACCATAATGATTCTACATCGTTCAATAAGTCATTGATGAAGACCAAATACATTTTAGCAGATAATGATCCACCTTGTAAGGTTTCCCGTTTCATATTACAGGAGATGACAGATGACCTTTAAAAGTAACATGGCTAACGAAGCCAGTGTACATGTTCTTTAATATAGTCCAGATTTTACCTCTAAACCCAATGTTATACAACTTAAGAAGCAACCTGTTCTGCCAAACGGTATCAAAGGCTTTATTGCTGTCCAGAAAAGCAACACATGAATTAGAATTGTACACTAAATTATATCTGTCACATTCTTGAAGATTAAAAGAAGTACACATACTACATATGTTCTTCTGGTATGTAGATTGTTGTCTAATAGGAAACGTATTAGAGTGTAACAAGGAATCCATTCTTTGAGCCAGAAGAACTGACTCGAAAATTTTGAAGAAAACTGGTATCAAAGTTATACCTCTATAACTGTTGGGGTCATTTCTGGGTTTCCCATTACCGTTATACAAAGTAAAACTTGTACCCGTATTCCAAGCTTTTGGTATTTGTTCATACTTAATAATTAAATTGAATAATTTAGTTACGTAAGTGAGTAAGTTATCTCCTCCATATCTGATATGTTCATAAACCAAATTATCACAACCAACAGCTTTGTTGCTTTTAAGTTTCTTACAAACACGTCATATTTCATCAACACTAAAAATATCAGATAAAAACGTATCTTTTTCTATATGAATACCATTTTGGATTTCACTAATCTCGAGAAATACATTTTGAGCAAAATTGTCGTCAAATGACGCAAAAGAGTTATCATTATCAAAAAATGTACTGAAGTGTTTACCTCGGGCTTCCACAATTTGCCCTGGTTCATGTATAGTAATACCATTATACGTCATCTCTGTTTGGCAATACCCAGCGTTTCGAGAAAGATTCTGTAAAAAGTTTCCATAAGAATTCTTGGTCGAATTGTTCCTTCAAATAAACATCAAATGCGCGACGAAGAAATCATCTAAATATGGTTTTGATAGACTTGTAACTTTTAAGCAAATTACTTTCGCCTCTTGGTCGACCCGATGCGGTTCAAGTTGACCTTTCGGAAACCCTCTCACTATGGAGAAGTGATAATTCTTTGTTCCAGTATGGTTTCAAATATTTCTTAAATGAACTTCTTTTAATCGACCTCTCTGCAGCCTCAAGTAAACAAGATTGGATCTGACCGTTAAAATATTTACTTCATCTACTTCTGTATGATGTAGAATCACTGACGAGTCCTAGAAGGACGGAACAGATGTATGATGTAGAATCACTGACGAGTCCTAGAAGGACGGAACAGATGTATGATGTAGAATCACTAACGAGTCCTAGAAGGACGGAACAGATGTATGATGTAGCAACACTGACGAGTCCTAGAAGGATGAAACAGCTGTATGATGTAGCAACACTGACGAGTCCTAGAAGGACGAAACAGATGTATGATGTAGAATCACTGACGAGTTCTAGAAGGACGGAACAGATGTATGATGTAGAATTACTGACGAGTCCCAGAAGGACGAAACAGATGTATGATGTAGAATCATTAACGAGTCCTAGAGGGACGCAACAGATGTATGATGTAGAATCACTGACGAGTTCTAGAAGGACGAAACAGATGTATGATGTAGAATCACTAACGAGTCCTAGAAGGACGAAACAGATGTATGATGTAGCATCACTGACGAGTCCTAGAAGGACGGAACAGAAGTATGATGTAGAATCACAGACGAGTCCTAGAAGGACGGAACAGTATATTGTAGAATCACTGACGAGTCCTTGAAGGACGAAACAGATACATGATGCAGTAAAATTCATTGTTCAGTTGTATTGTATCGAATTCTAAGTTTGTATCATATGGCACTATACACTGTGTATCTTTTGTTCAACCTAATGCCTGAGTCACATATGATGTGGTCGCCGTACGGTTTTGCGGTAAGCGGTTTGTAGATGCGATTTTTGCAAATCGTACGGCGTTGCGGGCTTGCGATGGGTTCACAAATGTTGCGGAGACCGTACGGCAATCGTAAAAGTCATGGTATGAAGTCCCGTTAGGTTACCGTTACGGTACCAATAGGTGACCTTACGGTGACCGCAAGGAGACATTACGGTGACCGTAAGGCAATCGTAAGGTTCCCTCACGGTTTTTTGTTCTACATAAGGGCACCGTAAGATCGCCGTACGGTCGCCGTATGATCGCCGTAAGTCTAGCGTTGTTTATGGCATTATGGTTATATATCATTGTCTCTGTGTTTATAGACCATTATCGTCCTTAGCTTAAAGATGCCACCTAAAGGATCCGAAGCAAAGAAAACGAAAAAGGTTGTTGTGACAGAGCCGAGACAGACTGAAGACCGGGATGCTTTTAGAGAAGACAAAGCAATTGTAGTACTTGAGTGCTGTACGGAGGAGCTTTCCTTCTCGGGTTTCACGGGGAGCACGTCCGATTTCCATTTCTTGCATCATCGCTTGGTCTCTCAATGCACCTGGTGTTATCTGCCCGTCGATTGCTTCTTGGTCTAGGTATGCATTCTGGAGGTTTGGGAATCTCTGTCACATTATCTGATGTAGAACGACGCATGCTTTCGTAATCAAAATAGCGTTCTCGGGTGTGGTCTGCAAATGCGTCAACAGACATCGGAAGCGCATGGCAGGTATCCCAAATGGGTTTTCGACCACCCTCCTGCCACGGGATGTACGATAATTGAAGACTCTTTCGTCGTGCTCAAGGTAATGGTGGGAGTATGGTTTCATGAGGTATGTACGCAGAGGAAAGGCGTCATCTCCAACAATAAAATATGGTGAAATATCGTTATCATTGGGTAGACGCTCTGGGGGTGGAAGGCCAAGGGTTTTCTGTCGAAGAGCAGGTTCCAGGGTTGACTCATTGAAGACACCAGCATCAGACATGGATTATTTCGCACCAACGTTCACCCACAAAAACTTATAGTCTGCGTCGACAAGCCCCAAGAGCACAATGGAGAAAAAACCCTTAGTTACCATATGCGGTACCGGAATGTCGTGGCTTCTTGATGGCGATGTGTTTGCCGTCTATGGCTCCTTAGCAATGAGGGTAGGACATGAAATCTCCCGAGATTCCCTCATGAGCTCCTGCATTAACGTATCATAGTGTCCTAGGGTGGTACGCCAGGGTTTTACCCAAACCGTTCGTCTTCCCGACGGACCCGCTGGTGTTCCAATACAACTATAGCTGCAATAACAGTTTACCGTTGCCGTTGGTTCTGCCTCAGTTGTTACCTCAAGCGCTCCAGTTGTAGCCGCTGTGGTAGCATCAACGCCATTTTCCAGAAGATTCCAGAAACAAATCGAATTCTTATCGCTAATATTCTAACTGTGCCTTACGGTGACCGCACGGTCGCCGTACTGTCGCCGCACGATATCTTTAACATCGTACGGCCACCATACGGATACCGCAAGATCAACGTAAGGTAACCGTACGAGTTTTTAAAAATCGTACGGTGGCCGTACGGTGACCGTGCAATGATCGTACGATTTATAAGAACCAGGGACGGGTGAAAAACCGTAAGTCACTTTATGGACACCGTACGGTGACATTGGGTTGTAGACGCGGCGTCTTTGCGGTCTACGGCGTCTTTGCGGCGTTAGGGTTTTTGGGGAAAAAATTAACGCGGAGTTGAATAAAATCGCAAGCATTACGGCGAATTTCCGGTGAGTTTGCGGCGAGCAAAAATCGTGAGTTTACCGTAAGGTGACCGTACGGCCATCGTAAGATTTGGGGCTTACGGTCGCCGCAAAGGCGCCTTAAACTCGCCGTAAGCCATATGTGACTGGAGTATAAGTATAAACCTCCATTTGGTTCTTTTTCTATTCTCAAATGGAAACGAATGCAGGATATTGTTTAATCTCATAACTTAGACATTGTAGTAACATTCGTGATTGTATTTATTACGCTGATTGGTACTATGACAATCCTCACTTTTCATCACTTGTTGACGTCGCATATGACACTATGGATTTGTTGAAGTCACGATGGGAACTTTCAGCCAGTTCCGCTAGGCCATATAAACTTTTACATCAACAAATGGTGAAATGGATTTTATTACTAGGTACACTGATAGTAGGATGTTTATCTAATAACTGTGTTTATTCTTCTAGACAGGGATCGTATTGTGTTCATCAAAAAGGTATACATTCTGGATCTTCCTTAAACTGAACACTATGAGCATAGATAAATAAATTAAATCTTTATGAAGCTGACATACCATGCATGGCATAAAATCCGGCATCATATCAAAGAAAGCCTTGAATACAGCTACAGTAGAATATAGCAGTCTATCATAATTTTCCAGTGACATAAATGTAAAGGCGGACAAATTGTTCAAACTTTACATGTCCTCATTGCACGATTTGTAAATGGTGACTGAATTTGAGTTCTGTGATCTTTGGTTTGTTTTCAAAGAACAATTTTCTATCCGATGTCTCCCTTGAGACTTCCCCAGTTTTAGCCTTTATTTGAGCGTTTGCCCCTGTTGAGAAAGGCTTTTTGTTCCCAACACATAACGATGGTAGTTACAACTCACTGCTTACTCTCAGCCATATTTTACTTCTAAGACTGGTTTGCCTGTTATCTGTGTAATGTAACCCTACAGACTGGTATGCTAGGTACCTTTTGCAGTATACACGTGGTACTACTATAATGTCGGCATCATGCAGTTCCCCGCCATCGCAGGGATGCGACATACACGAACATATTGCATCATCCAATAAACATGTGTTTGCACCCCACATATATGGAAAAGCCGTTCTTAAATGGCCATAACTTTTTATAGAACGTTACCCAGTGTAAAACCAAACAGCATAATTATAATTTAACAAAAAAAAAAAAAAAAAAAATGATAATAAAAACTAGAAATTGTTTGAAACCATTTAACGGGCTTTTCACCTAAATTGTTTCCAAATGTCAACGCTCTGGTGGTTACTTTATTGAGAAAAAGCCTTTTTACAATCTTAACATAATTGACCCCAGTGACATTGAAATTGGGTCAGGGCCATTTGGTTATTGAGAAGAATTTTTTTTTGTTACCAAAAATAGCACTTCTGAAATTTGACCTCTTCGAAAAACCGGAAGTTCAGCCAGTACGGCAATTCTAATGCATGCATTTAGTAGCTTTTCAGCAAGTTGCTTGACAAATATCAATACTTTGAACATTTCATTTAATACGAAAATGTCTTATAAAATCTTTAACATATTTGACCTCAGTGACCTTAAAAGTAGGTCAAAGTCAATCATATTAACAAACTTGGTCCTTTATCCTGGCATGCTGCAGACACAACAACGAAACCCTGGGTCATTTGGTTATTAAGAAGTTTTTTCAAAATTTAGCTCTGAAAATTGCACATTCGATCTTTGACCTTTAACCGAAACCGGAAGTTGTCATTTTATAGAAATAAGTTTCAAGAGAAATGTTATTGATATTTAATTCTACATCACATATCCAAAGTTAAATTCAATACATTAAGCCGGTCATGGCGGTAATTTTGTTTTTCAAACCGGGTTCAAAATTTCCTCAATTGGTAAAATACACATGGGGAAACTTTTTCATACCAATTAAATAAGATTTTTATTTAAGATCTTGGAATAATTTTAATTCGAACTTTTTGTCGGCATTTTTAAAAGATCAACGGAAATCTTCAAAATGGCGTAAAACGGTTACGGAAAAAGTGGAGACATCAAATTCATAAGATAATCATTGTGCATTGATTGATGGAAGAATTTTTCAAAAATCTTGAAAAATGAAAATTTTCAAAAATTTGTGACCTTTGACCCAACAGCGAACATTTTTGTTCAGCATATTTTCTAATAACATGTCATGACAAAAAAATAAATAAGGAAATTCTCTACAAATAATTTAATTGCACAAACTCTCTACAACGAATGATTTTTAATTTACAGCTGTTTTAATATTATTTTAGTTTGTGACGTCATGTTGGATGTTTAACCTATTTGAAAATGTTCCTGTAGCACCTTCAGGCCTTCATTAAAACATACTAACAAAACCGTAAACCTTTCTTTCACTCATCTAAAAGTAGAGACGCCACAAAATACGGAAATAAAAGAAGAAGAATAAGAAACTTCACAAAAACAATAAAAAAAGATTTCCTTGGGAAACGACTTTGGTATTGTACGATTGTTCGAGAGACACACAAGTGAATAGCTCTGCCAAATAATGTATCAATCTGCACCATGTACAACCACCACGTCCGAAAGTGAAATTTCAGAAACGAAGACGGTAACCGAGGAACACAAAAACCGGTCTCGACAAAAACCAGAAATGATAAGAGAAAATGAAAATAAATTACATTCTGAAATAAAACCAAGTTACGGAATAATTCAAGCCTGAAATCAGTGTATCTCTTATCGTATATATCCTTCATAATTTTGCCATTATCATAATGGAAGACTTCACGATCCCACCACATTTTTCGAGTAAATAATTCTGATTATCAATTACAAAAGGCCGTATCTGTCTGTGTAGATAAAAAGCGTCCGGCGATGACTGTTTCAATTACAACGTCGTCTACTACAGAAGGATATAATTGATCATCGAGAGCTAACGATTACTTTGATAATAGGAATACGCAATTAAAAAAAATTTCACTTGGATATTCGTGAAAATTGATTTTTATTTTGACAAATCCCACAACTGTTAAATGACCATCTCGTCATTAGTGATTTATTGGTAAATCCTAACGTTGAAGGACTTTTTTTCAGTTATGATTTTTTTTTATTCTTCCTTGTGTTTCTGGTTGCACGATGGGTGATGCCAAAAGTCTAAAATAACTAAATCAGATTGGTCAGATTTCTACGTTCAACATCGGACATATTCGTTTAAACTTAGTCGGAGTGAAGTCGTAAACTCTCTTTCCGCTCCTTGAATATATTGATAAAACGACAATGGTCTTCATCTTCATTTCGAACATTAATTAGCGATTTTCCCGCTGAAAATTTTGATAAAAAATATATTTGTGTTGATAGCATTGTGAATGCGTTATTTCATCATTGAGCTAATTTGTCAAATGCACTGACGAAGTGTTGAAATTTAATTACACATAATAAAGAGGTTTGCGGTAATAAATGGAATATTTAACAGTGGGAAATTAATGTGTATTCTAACTTAGTTACTTTGTAAAATATTATATATTGATGACATTGAAAACATGTGCATTATGAACATGTATATACTTGCAATGAATTCACATGCAATCACACCCAAACAAATTGCAATAAAAATAGAGGATGAACACCCACAACCTGACATGTCCCCTTATCAGTGATTTTTTTTCCTGTTCATATTTCACTTGATTAGATAAAGAAACTTGATTAAAAAACGTGTGTACATATTTACTGATAACGTTATTGCGCTTTGTATTCATAGAGTAACACAGGATAGGTTCTATACCAATGCTCGGATTCATGTAGATGACGGAAAAACCTAGAGCTGACTGCTTTTAAACATAAATCATAAGTTCACTTCACATCATGGCTAAGAGATATCTACTAAAGATGATACTACCATTGTTCGCATGTGTGCTGGTGTATATTTGGTTAAATAGAACGAACAAGAAGAAACACTCGGAACTCCTCTTAAGACATAGCACAAAAACCCGACTGAGGGATAACTCTAGGATGTTATTCAATATGAGGAATACAACCGAGTTAAACCTTATTGGTCACATGAATTTTAACAACGCACGAACAACATCGATAGAATCGTCAGCGTTGCCGTCGCCATCGTCATCATCAGAAAAACAAACACCGATGTCTTCTTTAACAGCAAATTTGACAGCAACAACAACACCGAGCACGAGTGCCGAGCCAACAACTACCTTCGACCCTCTCGCCCGTCTTGATAACTGCTCAAACTGTT